TCACAAACAATAATACGGCAGCATTGATTTCTTCTAATCAAGAATGTTTCAGGATGACGGATCGTCGTCTATAACATCCTCCTCGCCGCAACAGAATTTCCCGGCGACCTCGATTTCCCCCGGCGGCTTTGGGTCGCCGTGCTCCTCCTGGATCGGGGAGCTGAAACCGGAGGAAAGGGGGCTCTGCTTGATCCACCTCCTTCTCACGTGCGCAAATCAGGTCGCCGCCGGCGCTCTAGAGAACGCCAACCAAGTTCTCGACCAAATCTCCCAGCTAGCCTCCCCTGACGGCGACACCATGCAGCGCATCGCCTCCTACTTCGCGGAGGCGCTCGCCGATAGGATTCTCCGGACGTGGCCGGGCCTTTACAAGGCCCTTCATTCGACCAGGTTGACCGCTCTTTCCGAAGATTTGACCGCCAAGAAAACGCTTTTCGAGCTATTACCCTTCTTGAAGGTACACTATATTTCATTTCACCATAATTTTAAATATGGGAATAATTAATATCACCATAATTTTAACTCAAAGGAACAGCACCCCGATAGTCCAATAAAGTTTTGAATGTGATAACGAAAAACAAAACAAATGTATTAATTCTTGATGAAAAATAAAGAACAGAGCTCATAGAGATTAAATGAACCAAGGAATTACAATATTATTATTCTTAAGGAAGGGAATAAGATATTATTACTAGTAATGAAAGACTTTAACCACTAATATATTGAACTAGTGGTTAGCAAAAGTTATAAAAATTTGATCTTTCAAAAAATATTAAGACAGATCTAATCACTCCAAAACTTGGAGATAAATAAGACAGATATTTAGATCTTATAAAGGCAAATCTCATTCAAAGAATCAAAGTATATTTTACCTATTTTTAATACTATGAGATAAATAAAACATGATAAAAGTAAACAGTGTAAATAAAAGAATAGGGAGCAAATGATAAAAAGTGAGTATTCTAATGCACAGAGTTGTATTATTTTTAATGTTCCAAAAATTGGATCTTTAATATTTAATAATGTTTATTGTTGCAGGTGGCATTCATAGTGACTAACCAAGCAATAATGGAAGCCATGGGAGGGGAAAAGCTGGTTCACATCATAGACCTGAATGCGGCTGAGCCAACACAGTGGCTGCAGCTGCTGCATGACTTGAGCAGCCGCCCGGAAGGGCCACCGCATCTGCGCATAACGGGGGTGCACCACCACAGACAAACGCTGGACCAAATGGCCCGTCTCCTCACGGCCGAGGCAGAGAAGCTCGACATCCCTTTCCAGTTCACTCCGGTCGTCACAAGGATCGAAAACCTAGACTTCCAGAAACTCCGTGTCAAAACCGGGGAGGCTCTGGCAGTCACCTCAAGCCTACAACTACACACTCTACTCGCGTACAACGACCAGTTCAGGAAGAGTTCGCCCCCAGGGGATTTCCTCGAGAACGACTCTGCCTCGAGTAGCAAGATAAAGGGATTCCTCAACTCTTTGTGGGCACTCTCCCCGAAAATCTTGATGATAACGGAGCAGGAGAGTAACCACAATGGGCAAACATTGACCGAGAGGATGTCGGAGTCGTTGTATTACTACGCGGCGTGGTTCGATTGCCTGGAATCGACGCTGCCAAGAACATCGCCGGATAGAATGAGGGTGGAGAAGGCGGTTTTAGGAGAGGAGATCAAGAACATTGTGGCGTGCGAGGGAGTGGAAAGGAAGGAGAGGCACGAGAGGTTAGAGAAGTGGTTTTGGAGGTTGGGGGCGGCCGGTTTTGGGAATGTGAGGTTGAGTTACTTCTCAATGCTGCAAGCAAGAAGGTTGTTGCAGAGTTGCAGGTGTGATGGGTATAATTTGAAGGAAGAGAATGGGTGTTTGGTGATATGCTGGCAAGATCGAGCCCTCTTCTCTGTATCTGCTTGGAGGTGCAGGAAATGAGATTATAATCACTCTTATTATTCTTAACTAAGTAATTACTAATTAGTAGCCTGAAAAGAAGTGCTCCATCAGTTTAGAGTCTTTAGACTTGGTTCATCGGACCAAACCATTGTCTCTAATTTTTTGGGACTGATAACAATGTTTTAGTTATGTGACTTGTGTCTTTTTCCCCATTTTGTAGTCATGTAATGTAACTTCAAAACATATTGGTCCGGGAACCAAGTTTAGGCACCCTCTCTCTCCGAGCAACCAACTTTTTTTTGTAGAACAAAAAATCTGAATAAGAGGTAATTGAGGGTGTTTGGATTTGATTCTTAAAACTGTTTTTGCATAACAAGTTGGAGTGTTTGGGTAAAAGTGGAGAAGTGATTCTTGTGCTCTAATTTATTCCTAGAAACAGTTTTTACAGTTTTTTTAGAAGCTGGGGGTGACCAGCTTCTGAAAACTGATTACGATTCTGCTTCTGCTTTAAAAAAGAAGCAGAATAAGAATCTGCTGGTGGTAATAGGCTTTGTCAGGGACAATTCAAAATGGATCTCAAGGATTCAAAATGGGTGTTCTTAAATGTTCATAATAAGACTAAAAAATAACTACTGTTTTCAAATATAACTACTATGATCTTTCATAAGATAAACTTCGACTTATATAAATAAAATCATTGTACTCCATCTGTCCCTTAATTAACATTACATTCAACATTTCACCATCTCCAATGGTAATGTGTGACCATTGATATGTAAAAATATACACTTACAAACTTTATAATAAACCAAGATTTCAATAATATATACGATAGTATTAAAATGAAGCATTCAAAATTATTTTGATAGTATAAAATAATTCGGTTATTGAGTAATTAACAGTCAAAGTTTACAAAGTTTGATTCAAAAAAGTATAAACTTTTTTTATAATGGAATAATTTTAAAAAAAGAATTACGGTCAGCCACCAACGAGCTCGGGATATTTAAAATGGAAAAAGGGAAAATGACGAGTCTATTTTGGTTTAGCTTTAGCCACCAACGAGCTCGGGATATTTTGGAAAAGGGAAAAAGGGAAAGAATCCAAGAAGTATCGAATCTATGAATAGCATTGCCAATTGACCGAAGCGCGGAGCAAAAACACTCACATTAAGTTGTTCCTCTGTAATGTGGGTATATCACTATATTCTCCTATCTAGCCCCTAGTTAGTTATATACGGTACGGGAATTAAACGAGATTTAATACGTACGTGTTTTATTCAGTAACATTAATGAAAAAACGATCAAAAAACGTTAAAAAAAACGTTGACTTTTAAAAAATGTGTTAATACGTATATGTGTATAATACGGTATCTGTTACAAAAATTCGGACAAAAAATACGGGTACTATTTTGAACATTTAAATTATATACTTCACAAAATAACACATATAGTAAAAAGAAATAAAAGTTTACACATATTAAAGTTGCAAATCTCATTACTACATAAAAGAATAATTCTTAATTGCATAAGTCGATGATAAAAATAAAAATAGTAATTAAATTCAAGACATGATTTTGTAAACAAATGTCAACAAATAAGACATAAAATATAGATTAAGCCTAAGTTAAAATGTTTATCTGTATATGATCATCAAATAACACTCAATTTAAATTCATCATTTTCATCAAGATGACGGATGACATATGTGAATGCTACACACGCTTCTTATTATTTATGTGTAAGAGTTTATACTAAAAAAATGTCAGGTTTTGAATTACTTTAATTTTGACATGCTTATTTGGAAAAACATCAGAAATCTAATACTCTGTAGTATTTTAAGTTTTAATCTTTAAGAATGTTAGCTTTAGCCTCCATGCACTTCATTTTAGTATTTAATAATTGTATTTTAGCAATACAAAAACATGAGGTCACATGGAAGAGCTTTTCTTTTTTTCTTTTAAATCATTGTTGATCTCCTATATATTGATTTAATGTGTTCATTCAATTCATCAATTCATGTTTTTATTTTTTGTAAATTAAGGGATGCAAGCTTAAGCTGCCATGCAATTACTTTTTGTATTTAATAATTGTATTGTATTTATTAATTTTTGGTTTTACACTATTGTTGATCTCAGATGCATTTAATGTGTTTATTCAATTGATCAATTCATGTTTCTATTTTTAGTAAAATACGGGAAAAATACGTTTTATACGGGAAGTAGGAGTTTTTTTCCTTTTTAAACGGACCGACATTATTTTTCGTTTTAAACGTATTTTTTTGTTCAAAAAAACGGTACACCTTTCCTGATCTAGCCAAAACAGCTAACTAGGATCTAGCCAAAACAGCTTTCTTCATTTTCCTTTGCAATTTGATGGAAACAAAACCACCTTTCCTGATGCACAAATGCTGGTTTCCTACAACATTTGCTATTCTGTTGTAGATCCCATCATACAAAAATGAAGTCTTTCTGTCATTTCTTTTTGCGGAGTCTTGCATTGGCCTACGAGCCCGTTTGGTAGCACGAAAATCGGCTGTTTTGGTTTATTCTGCTGAAATTTATGAAGTTCCAGTTGAAGTGACTGCATTGGCTGTAACTGCTGATTTAAGAAAAAAATATTTTTAAAATATATTTTATTAATAAAATAAAGAAAAAAATATATATAAAAATAGCTAAAATGGTCATATACAGACCTTAGTTTTTCTGCTTATTATATAATTCAGCGCGCGAAAGAAAAAGTTTCGTGTTTGGTGAAAAAGTTGGCTGATAAGCCGAAACAAAGTGTTGCCAAACGGCTAAATGTGAGGTTCTATACTTTCAAAACAATAATCATCTTTGAAGCTGTAGTTACGTGTGTATCAAAATAGTAGTGCAGCAAGAACCTCAGAAGTTTTACATTCTGAATAGGGAGAAGGGTCAAAAATGACACTAAGGTTTTTAATGAATCTCGAATTAGACACTCACGTTATTAGTGGATCAGATTAACATAAATTCGAACTTATTTGTTGCATTTAGGCCACCACTAACATATCCGTTAAAATTCTAACCTAGAGCATTTTCAAACAACTTAAAATAAAGTAAAAAGGGTAATTAAAATTTCAGTCCTTTCCTAGTCCACTGTCATCTGATCTTCGTAATGCTTAGAACTCTTAGAGACCTAGCAGACCCTTCAGCCGAGGATAATGTTCAAAGGTCGATATTTTCTCTTCCTGAACACGATGCTTCCCGGACAGATGGATCCTCCCATTCAATAGCCTATGCTCTGTCTGGTCGAATTCTTCAATCCAAACTGATAAGGAAAAGGCGAAGTCGGTTTTGCATCCAAGAAAGATGACTCTCCAGTGGATTTCAATCTAGCTGCTAACTTCAAGGATAAAAAGAAGCTCTTTAACAACAAGGATTTCACACCTGGAAGTCCTAATCCTAGTTGAGGATAAGAAGGCTTAGTTTCTTCAAAGCTTAACAAATCAGGGTTTGCGGAAGTCATGTTGCGTTCTTCTCGATCAGCTTCACCAAGTTTAGCTTCTTCCTTAGGGTTACATAAGATTAAGAATATGGGTCGTTGCCTCAAGAGAGCTTCTTCAATTCCGATAGTCCCCATGTAAGAGGTCCATCTAGATTACAGAATAGTGAACTTTCTTTTGGAGCAGGTATGATTCAATTCAGCCAATGAACATATATTTATTTTCCAGTTTAGTTGTTTGGGAAATAAAGGGAATGTTTAGTTGAACACTTGAACATACACCAAGGAATCTCCTTTAATAACTTGCAGATCAAATGAGCTGAGTAACTTCATCCAACGCCAATTTAACGGAAATGTTAGTGAGTGGCCAAAAAGCAACGAATAAGTTAAAATCTGTGTTAATTTGGTCTACTAAAAACCTAAGTGTCTAATCCGAGATTTATTAAAAACATCAGTGTCATTTTTGACCCTTCTCCCTTCTGAATATTCATATAATGTTTTACCGGGTTCAAATGCATATTCTTAAATCTTAACCAGTTTCATATGCAATTGCCCAGAATACTCAAGGCTTTTAACCTATCAAGAGTATATGAGTAAGATTTCTGCTTGATAAAAAACAGGTCTTGGCTGCGCACTAATGAGCTGTCTCAAGTCCTGATATTGGGAGTTGGGACCAGTAAACATTAAGAACAACTACAAATACAAATTCCCCCAAGGGAAATTAGGAGGTCAATGAGGATAGCATTATGACCCTCAATGTGCTGCCCTGTTGGGCCAAAAAGTGGGTCGGCCTGGGTCGAACCAAGACCAAATAAATCCTTGAGAACTGGGTCATGTTTAAATTGCTAGAAGAGAAATGGGATCCAATTTATATTATTATTGAATCTCGATAAAATTGAGTACAACTACGAATACCTGCAATTAAGATCTACCTACCAAAGGGCCCAACTTAGATGAAACCCTGATTCTCTCTTCAGCTCCAGTTTACATTACTAGAGAAGACCCATGGGATAACCCCCCTTTTTTCAGAAATACATGCATAATAATATGGAAATAGATAGAGAAATGTTATTCATGGTTTTTTAGGCAAAAAAAAAACATCTGAGATTTAAGGGCATTTGGGGCCTCCTTCCTTGGTCTTCCAGTTATTGTAGCAGGGGCAGACTCTCTTGTTGCCATAAGTGCCTGGAGGCACACACAGACACTTAGCACAGCACTTATTGCAGAAGAAGAGACACGGCTTCTTGTACTGTGTATTCGAGCACCGGTTTTGGCACCTCGGCGAACAGTCTGCAACATCACAGGGACTTCAACATTCATCAATAATCTCCAGCAAAAAATCACTAATTTTGATTTTTTTACAGAATTAATTCGAAATTTAGACAACATTTTTCATTTTGTCCACTTTTGATATTTGACTCATGTTTTTTGTCCAGTTATTAGATGCCTCAATAGTAACTATAATCGTCAGAAAAATGTAAAAATACTGTTGCGCAAAGACAAATGTTTTTCATGCTAAAGGTACCTCAAAATGTACCCCATTTTTTATCCCACCCTCTAATATGTGGCCATAAATGAGACAATTCATTTAAGTGGGACAACACTTAAATGAATTGGTCCATTTATGACCACAAATTAGGGGTTGGGATAAAAATGAGGTACATTTTGGAGTACATTTTGAGGTACTCCTAGCAAAACTCAAAGTTTTTTTCTCGAAATAATGTAAAGACAAAAGTTAATTATGGCACGTTATAACATGCACTATTTACCTAGGGGAAATCCCGAAGTATCCGAAATTCAAAAATTACTGTACATGAGGGAAACAATTTATTCAATCATGTTTATATACGAAGCAAAAAAATCTTTTTGACCATTCGGAATACAGACTATAGTCTGAGCAAATTATTGTCCTACCTCGAGGATGCAGGCTGCCTTCAGTTACACCATACTGCAACCAGAGAAATTAAAATGTGTAAGTAGAAATTTAATACTCCGTATAATAACTGTGGAATCAGTTGGAAATACCCGTTGGCAATCAAAAATGATGTTTGTACACACTCTTATACACACTTTTGTACACATCTATGTCTGTGAAAGCTTTTTTTTTTGTCTGTGAACATCGATTCACAGACAATGTTTTGCACAAACAAAATATTGTCTGTGAACCGGATTCACAGACAAAAAAAAAAGCTTCACAAACATGGTGTGTATAAGGTGTGTACAAGGGTGTGTATATCAAGAATGGTAATATTGTCAAACATTTAACTCAATAGAAGAAAACACCAACACCTAGAAAAGTGAGGTAATATTGTCTTTTTCTTTCATTGTAGTCTAGCAAAAAAGGGGCAAAAAGTATGTCGCAAGGCAAAAAAGGGACAATGTTTTGCACAAACAAAATATTGTCTGTGAACCGGATTCACAGACAAAAAAAAAGCTTCACAAACATGATGTGTATAAGGTGTGTACAAGGATGTGTACATCAAGAATAGTAATATTAGTCAAACATTTAACTCAATAGAAGAAAACACCAACACCTAGAAAAGTGAGGTAATATTGTCTTTTTCTTTCATTGTAGTCTAGCAAAAAAGGGGCAAAAAGTATGTCGCAAGGCATCTTTTTTTAGTTGGAGCAACAACAAAAATGAGTATTCAGTGGACATTTGCACAATAAACGATTGTCGAGTCACATAGATTTGGCCATATATCAACGTCATACAAATTGCAGTGTTTTTCCTTGTTTAGGCTACGTTATGGATCTGTCTACAATATCTTTTGTATTTTTCATTTGGATATTTTAAAGGGTACATCTCATTGTGTGACACATGAAATAGTGCCATTAATGAATTGTGACTCATGGAAATAGTGACACATGAAATAGTGTCATTAATGAATTGACTTGGAATCCTATTGGGTGAGAAAGACAAATGTATGGTACACTCCAAATTTGAAGAGGTACCATAGAAATCTCCTATTTTAAATTTCAAATGACATATTTTACAAATCAAGACATTTTTTGGACAAACACTGAATTTCCCTTTTAAACACTTAAAATTGTGTAATCGATATATGCTGATAGAACGGGCTGAAAATTTTACCTCTCACTAACAAACCAACTATGCATAAAACATATTTCCTTAATCCCATAAAACTTGGTAAAAAGTGAATTGAACTTGTAGTAAAAAACCAAAAATTTGCTTACTTTAAATCATGACATCAGGGCACACAAAAAATCAGTATGCAGTAATACCTTCATCTCAAATTGATTTGCAAATTTGACTTTTCTTAGTCAAACATTTTCATTTTATTTGCATAATTGGGATGTCAATTTTTTATTATATTCTAATTTGGAGTTTAAACCTTTGAAGAGATTTTAATGTAGTTTCTAAATATATAAATTTTAATTATTCAAAATTGAATTAATTATAGATAAGGAGCATTGACTTTTATTATTAGTTGAACAAAAAATGTTGACTTTGCAAAACAATTTGGGACGGAGAGAGTACGTAGTACAAAGTAGTAATTATAAGTTGATTTTGCTAGATGTTATACTCCGCCCCGCAATGAACTTCCAATTTTCCTTTATTGGATGTCCCAGAAACAAGTTCTCATTTTCTTAAATGGCAAGTTAATCTAGATAAAACACTATCAAACGGTGCAAAACAGTGTCAAACAGTGTCGAAACAGTGCAAAACAGTGCCAAATAGTGTCGAAACACTGTAAAAACTGTAAAATTTACCTCATGGTAAGTTTATTTCCTTAATATGTGTGCAGGTAAAACTATGAAATTCATTGTGGGACGGAGGAAGTATAATACTCCGTATTTGAGATTTCAAAAGGTATGTAACTTTTAGATTGTCTAATTTATGAAACTTAAACATTATAAAACTTATATTTCACTGAACTATTTATTCTTTTGTATTTCGTTGTTAAATTTTGTATTTTCCCTTGTTTTAGGAGGCCTGAATTCATCTTTTGGAAGTGAGATCTCGAAAGTCATTGGACGGTCATCATGCTTTAAATTTATGCAAGTAGATAGAAATAACTTTAACATATGTTACTTTAATTGACATATTCTTTAACATGATTTGTGTGGTAGAGAGTTGTGCAGAGGAGAGAGAAATATGTAAGAATGGTTGTGAACCACATATTCTTTATCAAAAAGGGAAAGAGGAGATAAATTTGGGACGGACCGAAAATGAAAGAATGAAGATCATTTCGGGACGGAGGAAGTAAAACTTAGGAAAAATTGACAAAAATAATCCCACCTTTCGCTGGTCTTCTCATAATAATCCCACCTTTAGGTAATCCCAGAATAATCCCACCTTTGCACCTGACCATGTTTTTTACTCTTTTTTTGAAAATCATAGAAATAATCTTACCTTTCACTTTTCTATTATATCTTTATAAATATGAGATTATATATATAAGATTTTAAAAGAAAGGTAAAAAACTTGATCTCGAAAGGTGGGATTATTTTGGGATTATGTAAAGGTAGGATTATTATGAGAAGATCAGTGAAAGGTGAGATTATTCTTGTCAATTTTTCCTAAAACTTATATTTCACTGAACTATTTATTCTTTTGTATTTCGTTGTTAAATTTTGTATTTTCCCTTGTTTTAGGAGGCCTGAATTCGTCTTTTGGAAGCGGGATCTCGAAATTCATTGTACGGTCATCATGCTTTAAATTTATGCAAGTAGATAGAAATAACTTTAACATATGTTACTTTAAGTGGAAATATGTCTAAAAGCAAAGCTATCAAAATTTTCAGAGAGGGAAGGAGTGAGACTAAACTACTTTTATAGAGTAAACTACACACCTTCACATTTTACTTGATGCACTCTAAAAGTTCATCTTATCAATTTTTGAACTTTAGTTGAGTCATCCCAAAATGCAACCTAGAATCTAATAGTATATCGGATTGGAACGGTGGACGTAGCTCAACTAGTAGGAGGTTCCATAAAGGACAAGTTTCGGATTTGCATCTCAAAAACTGCGATAAAAGTTTACCATGCTAAAATGTTAAAATGCTTTCTGCCAGCTTGTTATAAAATCCAATTTACATCTTCATACTTTATTTAATTATTTGATCCGCGGAACCTGGTGGTACAAGATTTTAAGCTAGGCATTAATCTCTTACATAATACCGCTTTACCATCACTTTGAAATTTGAATAGCACTTTCCGACTTTCCGTTGTAGTTTTCGAAAGTTTATTCAAGTGCTTTTCGAGTAACTTGCTCTTTTTGGCTGCAACCTCAATCCCAAACTGAGCCTAACCTATCTATCCAGTGTATAACAAATAATTACGCCTAATAATCAAAATAATTTGAGTTTATTTTTACATTCATACAGTCCATTTAAGCCGAGCAAAATCATAGTGGTCGCCCAAATAGTAGAGAAAAAAAATGGTTACCATGCGATTGTTGCCAAGCGATTGCAGGGAAGATGAATGTACAGCTGCCATTGAAGCCTGCAAGCAACATTCACCGCCAATGCTTCAGGCACAGATCTAAATAGAGAGTGGAGTATGAAGTGTACGGGGTACAGATCTAAGTATAGAATGGAGAAACTAACCTGGTTTTGAACTAGAAGAGCAATGAGTAAGATTGCACACTTCAGGATGCTCAACAACAGAGCCATTCTGCTTTGCTTTGAGATAATCAAAGAGAAAATGAATGATAGAGAATAGAGAATTGGTGTGTATCTGCGAGGAGGTTATAATGATGGAAAGGCATGTGCTTATATATACACACACTCAGGAAGAGTGTAATGCGAAAACGCTAATTTGCTTAGTGTGTACATTTGTACTATTCCCAAACTTTCAATGTTTCACACTAAAGCAGTAGGAGTACGTTTGGACGTTTGGTTTTGTGAATAACGGCCACACATTTGCACCAGTTTTGGGTTGAGAGTGTTATTAGTTGAATTAGTTGAATATGTTAAATCCGTTGAAAATCATACTTTTTGTTTTGGGTTATCTCACAATGAATATCATACTAACTTCGTCCGGGTGGACTTTGTAAAGTGCAAAATAGGTGGGAAATAAGAATACTAAAAATTGAATTATTGAAATCAGGGGCATAAACTAACTTAAGGATTAGGAAGCCATGAGATGATATCAAAAACCAACTTATTTACTATGAAAAAATTGTGTATTGCGTAATTGGAAATCAATAACAAAGTGAAGGCGTACGTGGACATAAACTAAAAATCATAATAAATAAAAACGCTAAGAGATATTTGTAAAAAATTGTATGCATAGGTTAACATCAATAGCAAACTTGTAAATCTATTATAAACTACGTAGTATTTTTCATTTTTTTCTTCATTTTTGCTAGGAAGCAAATGAAAACATTACTTCAAAGAAGCTGAGTTCGAAAAGTTAGAGGGAACTCCAAGAGATCAAAAGCAAATTATTCATTTAGTTTTGATAACCAATTCTCTAGATAAAGTTTTACTACTAATAATATGAACTAAATATATTATTAGTAATAGGACATGAAAAATATGAGGCCCCACCAAATTGAGAGGCCCGAGGCATTTGCCTTGGCATAATGCCCTCATAGCCGCCGCTGATTGAAATTTGTGTAAAGGAGAGAGAAATGTGCAAAATCACAAATTAGTTGTTTTAATAGGAGAGTGACAAAGTTTTTTGGGACAAACAAAAAAAGAAAGTTGGCAAAGTCCAATGGGACGCAGGGAGTATTTCTTTTTTTGATAAGAAATATGTGTGCTTTATCATTTCACTTTATTCTACTTCAATTTCAACTATAACTTTTACTTTTCAACCACTTTATTAATAATCGTGGCAAATTGATAGAGGACAACCAATATGTGACAGAGGTAGTACGTATTACTAAGTATTATTATTTTAATAAAATAAAGAAAGAAATATATGAAAATTAGCTAAAGTCGCCCTCTATAGTAAATGCACTCAATTTAATCAAAAGAAATAATTCAAACATTATTAATTTTGATGAAAAGTTAGATGATAATCCTAATAAGTGACAAAAAAGTCCTAAAACAGGCTCAAAATCTAATTAAATTATTGAATCCTTGAAAATCCGGAACACCCTCCTTGATCATTGAATACTACTTATATTACTCAACATGTTAATTAGCTTTGATCAAATTTAATGAGGCCGAGGGTAGTAAAATGTGGATTGCATTAGGTGATTTAGTTCCTTTTGACAAGAATGGTTCGTTGAAATAAAACAAAATATTGTGCTAACACTTTTTTCGATTTCAAAAATTATTTTCTTGAAAGAATTTCCTAAACAGGAGTAAACAAATTTTGAAATTCCAAAACAGGAGTATCATGTTTTTTATTCCTTGAATAGGAGTAAATTTTTGCCAAGTTTGGCATTAATACGCTTTAAAACATGACATTTTTTCCAAAATTGACCGATTACTCTTATTCAAGGAATAAAAAACATGATACTCCTGTTTTGGAATTTCAAAACATTTTTGCTCTTATTTAGAGCAATTTCTATATTTTCTTCCACAAAAATGCGTATTTATGTACCTTTTGGATGAAAGAATCCATTCCACCAATTCAAGAAACAAATATGAAACAAGAACTTCCGGCCTAGCTGGTTGTGAGGTTACCCCTGCAAAGGAGAGGTCTCGTGTTCGAGTCCCACTAGCACCGGTGGTACTATGTTCCCCCAAAAAACCCTTCAAGTGGTGGGGCCAAGCGGTGTATACTAACTCGTAGGACCAAGCTAAAGTTGGGTTTCTGGGTAAGGGGTCGTGAAAGCGGTGGAGCTAGTCGCTATAAAAAGTTTACTCATACCTTAGTTTTAACTAGAACTTCCAGCCCAGCTGGTTGTGAGGTTACCCACTTACCCCCGCATAGGAGATGTCTCGTGTTCGAGTCCCACTAGCACCAGTGGTACTATGCTCCCCCAAAAAACCCTTCAAATGGTAGGGCCAAGCGGTGTACACTAACTCGTAGGGCCAAACCAAGGTTGGATTTCTGGGGTAAGGGACCGTGAAAGCGGTGGAGTTAGTCACTATAAAAAGTTTACTCATACCTTAGTTTCTAGCACATGTGGTACTATGCTCCCCCAAAAAAACCCTTCAAGTGGTAGGGTCAAGCTGTGTATACTAATCCGTAGGGCCAAACCAAAGTTGGGTTTCTCGGATAAAGGGCTATGAAAGCGGTGGATCTAGTCACTATAAAAAGTTTATCCATACCTTAGTTTAAGGGAGTGTCGCAAGGTTAGGTCCCGGATTCGAATCCCGGCAACTGCGATGAGGAGTTACTATGCTAAAAATGCATAGGGCCTCTGCAAGTACCAGGGAAAGAACCTCACTATCTATCTGTCAGATTGAGATTATAGTCCAATTTACATTTTTTCAACATACCGTTCAGTCGGGGTGGGGGGTCGTCCTTTTTTTTAAGAAACAAATCCGAGTACATCTTAATAATCTGTAATTACTAAGAGGGGTCTACTACTCTAGTGTTAATCTATTTGGCTTTATATGGACTCCACCTATTTAAGGCTTTCTGAAAGCCTGTTTGTTACAGTTCGTCATAAGTGAAACGTGTCTTGAGCCAATTAAAAAGGCTCATGCCGCACATGCAAGCCTATTCAAGGGCAGAAATCCGGATCAGATTTGTAAGGGTGGGGGAGAATAGCATAAATAATACTCCGTACGTTTTGCGGTTTTGGTACAGGTTTGAGTCTATGCATGGACCCGGTCCAGTCCGTTCCAGGCCTTGGGCTGAGCCTGACCGGACTTTGTTTTGGTTTCTTGAGGCCCGGAACTGGCCCGGGTAGCTACCGGGTATGGTTCGGGCCCGGGACGGGTCAGGCCGTTTGACCCGATTTTTTTAATTTTCTAATTACTTCCTACCCCCACCCCGCACACCCAAACCTCTCTAAAACACCTAGCCCAACTCATTTAACTTCCAAAGTTAGTGAAAAATAAAAAACGATCGGTTCACTTTCTGGAGGCCCGGAGCCCGTCCCGAAAACTGGTTGTTCGAGTATAATGCACCCGGTCCGGGGACTGGGTACCGGGTCGGGCCGGGCCGAAACAGTACCGGACTAGGCCGGTTGACCCGGCCCGAGTCCACCCCTAGGTTTGACACCAAAATAAGATCACATCATCTCAGATTAGACTTTAATGGATAAATCAATAAGATCTTATAAGACCGGATAAAATTTAGACAATCGCAAAATACGTATAAAAGGTAAGTTTTTTTTCTTGAATATTACTGTAGTGAAAATAATTTTCAAAAAAGTTACTACTTGTATATATGAACAAAAATGTGTCAAAGAATATTTTGACACAACTAATTGAAAAGATATTTTGTGACCTTTTGAGTAGAGACTAGTTGTTACGTTTAGTATCTCAAAGCTTTTAAATGAAAAGGCTTGTACCTGTTTAATAAAAACTAATTGTTTGATTTAATTGTGTTTAGTATAAAGCTGTTGGGCTGAATTAATATTAAAAGTTACAGATTTTCTCTAAAAAACTACTTAGTAATGCACTCCGTAATACAAAAGATAGAAGTTAAGAACTTCAGTTTATCAAATATATGCACTGAAATGCACCAAATAGCAATAATTTTATGATATACAAATTTATGTTCAACTTTAAACTCAAGTGATCATGAGTCTATCTTATAAGTAATATTAACTTTTAGTCATATTTTTGTACCATTGCAGCTCCTAAAATCTGAAGGCTCAAGGGTATTTGATCGGTGGAGTCCAAAATTCTACCTTTTCGTATCTGAACCCCGAAGCATTGTTTCTCCTTCTTCCGTACACACCTCTTGTTCAAGATATTCATCAGGCCTTGACAGAGAATTGTTACCTTCTCTGAACTTGAAGCACGACTATCTATCATCGTTTGCAAATTAATACTCCCTCCGTCCCGTTGGAAGGTTCCCATAGCAAAACGACACGGTTATTTAGGCAATAATTAAATAAAGTACTTCAAGTATATTTTGAGAAATAATTGTAATAGGTATATATTATAATGTAGTTAGTATTGATAACTGTGATGTTATAAATGTATTATTTTTAATTTTTAATGATTAATTTGTCACTTAAGAATGTTAATTGTTTCCTAAAATGGAAATGGGAAACTTCTAACGGGACGTCCAAAAAAGGAAAGTGAGAACCTTCTAGCGGGACGGAGGGAGTATCAAGGTTAAGTTGTTTTTATAGACATTTTCATCTGTATAGACAGCTAATAGGAGGATTAAGTTGTTTGTGTACACAAACAAAAAAGTTAGACACAGACAAATAATGTATATGCACACCGACATTGGTTGCATGTAAACCACATTAATTGAAGTACTTTTTGCATAAATGTGTTAGAGTGGTTGCACAGAAATTAATATGTGTGTACATATACATTTTTGTCTCTTGTGCATTGTTGTGTTTATGACGAAATTTTATAAAACACTACTAGTTTTTTAGTTTCATTATTCAACACGATATAGACAACATTTATATACGGAGTATCACACAAATAAAAAGTCTTGGAAATCTAATTTTCGGATGACTTTTCGCATGATTTCTGATTGTTCGTTAACATCAAATTCTTCAGTGCATTGACAAAGTAAAGGTGAAGATGATGATGAAGTATGAATAAATGGTAAAAAGAAAGAAAGAAAGAATAGATGCTCGTTTCATAGAAGAGGAGATGGCAAAAAATTGGTATATAAGTGTATATTATGAGCACGTCGCTTGTCCCGTGTAGAGAGCCTATTTGGCAATAGGCATTGGTTTTATTCACTGATTTAACCGGACAATTTCATAGGAGCAAGAATAATTCCT